GTTATTATTATTATTATTATTTATTCTCTACTACCTATACACGCCGTCCACCATTATTAGTCTCAAAGTGCGTTCCTCGTCATCGAATTTGAATTCATCACGACGATTAATCGAGGTTGTGTAAGTCTAAACGTTTATCTTTGTTATTCCATGTATAACTTTTTAAATATGTTCTTTCACCTATCAACTACCATAAACCAATCATATCGTGAAACTATCTTTAAACTTCGTAACCTGAATATAAAAATCATCAAAATGAGAAACGATATATCCTTCCTTGGCCACTGCCGCTCTGAAAAGCTAATTCCTAAATTTGTGAAGGTCAGGTTATCGAAAAACTTAAACCAGTTTTCAGGTATTATCCAAAACATGCAGAAAAAAAAATCCTAAAAGCAACCCTGAATTCCAAATATCAAAAACTGGACTATTTACAAAAACTCAAACAGAAATTAGACCATTAACTAGCCTGCTACCTCAAACCAGATGATTATGGCAATATACAACGCGCTATTAACCAAACCAACTCATTGTTGAATCAAGAATAAAGTACCTGATGATGACAAAACCTTGTCGAAACGTTGTACATTTGCTGTTATGTTAAACTTATATTAAAGTTTTTCTTCATTACCCATTCAAGCTGTCTCCAATCAATATTTGTAGTAAGGTTTATTCAGGTTATTTTTCTAACTTAACGCTAGGTGTTCTGCATGTCGTTAATAACATCTTTATAAACCAGAAATCCAAAGATCGTAACTATGTGATAATTGTTTTGCTTAAGTAAATGCTACATGTGACAATGGTTATCCCATAGAAGTTTGACCCTGTGTCTTTCAACTCACTAGGGAAGGGCAAAACCATCTTAAGGGATGGCACGGATACTTGTACAAGTTGGTATAATTTAAAGGCTCTCTTCTTAATATATGCTATGTAGAATAGTCATTGACATAATGCATGTAATCTAAGGAATTTGGGATACTGTACTAGGACCCTGGACCAACTTGAAAGTATGGTATTACAATATTCTTTCTCCTGTCTTTGTTGTGTGCAGACGTTTTTGGAAACCTTCTCTCCAGGCTCTGTATCCAGTTTGAATTAGAATAATTAAGAAGCTAGTTAGTTTGATTAAAAACACAAACACTGTTAGTGAACAAAGGTATTGTGTATACGTTCACTTGCGTTATTTGTTTTCCTTTGATATCCCTACTCATTTTAATACTCTGCAAAACATTTCCAGAATCTGCATTTTGCAGATATCAATAATTACCTGAAAGATATTAGTGAAATAACCTAACAGTAAAAAGTAAAGCCCATTATATTTCATGCTTTGCCTTAATAAACAGGGTAAAAAACAGAATAACAATGTTTTTAGTAAGTCGTGCAAGATACAATGTTTCAAATATATTTTTTATTCTAACTAGTTTACGCAATAGACCATAGTCATACTCTGTACACTAGGTTGCACAAGTATTTTTTTTTGCAGCTCGTTATATATTATGCTTACATGTGACTATGCTTGCCATTCTTAGATCCTGATAACCTCCAAGTAAAAATATTAGCCACAATAACTAGAGAAATGGAAGAAATTTATTGTAGAATTAAATTGAATCTCAAAGCTAACTAAGTTGAATAGAATGGATTGGACACAATGTAGCACAAACTCAGGACTAACAGAGTTGGATTAGAAACAATGTAGCACAATCTCAGGACTAACTGAGTTGGATTAGAAACAATGTAGCACAATCTCAGGACTAACAGAGTTGGATTAGAAACAATGTAGCACAATCTCAGGACTAACTGAGTTGGACTAAACACAATGTAGCACCATCTCAAGACATTATTTTTTGTCACATAAATATAGTGCAACTCAATCCAACTCTAAAGAGAGATAGAGATGTAGGCGAGATAAAAGTTGAAGATATTCCGAAAAAAAAGTGAGAGAGCAAAACACTATTTACTTGTAAGAATAGGGTTAATTCTCACAGAGTGCATATTTTAACCACGTCACTTGATCATCTCATGAATAAAAATAGGGAGAGCATATCCCCCAGGTATATCTATCTATACTTGTACATGACTGATGTTACTAGAGATTTGTTTGTAATTATGCACAAAGCTACACAAGGGCTATCTGTGCTCTGCCCACCACGGGTATCGAAACCCGGTTTCTAGGGTTGTAAGTCCGCAGACATACCGCTGTGCCACTGGGGGCGTTACTAGAGAACACACAGTACCAGTGCTAGAACAAAATAGT